AAGAGCACCCCTTGAGGGATGGACAAGGGGACATGAATGGGGCCTGAGACTTGATGCAATTGGAATGGATCCAGGGTTCACATTCAAGGTGAAGCTAATTCGCTCCACACCTAATACTGAACCAAAAATTGTTTTAGGCCCAAATAAAGCCCTGTCTCGGCCGCAAAGCCCCCAAACACCCCTCCAAGAGAATACTCCTCTCCCTCCCCAAAGCACTGCCTATCAAGCCCGTTTGCCCCCAGTTAGGCTTTCCACAGGTGAGGCCCTAAAGGCCCTAGCTAATGCCACTGCACAGTCCCTTAACACCTCGACCTATGAGGATTGCTGGATGTGTTTTTCCCCTGTTCCCCCTCTTTATGAAGGCATTGCAACTGTCTCGCCAGACATGACCTATACCAATGATTCACGGCAGACACGCTGGGTGGACTCTCCCGGGCTTACATTGGCCCAATTGTCAGGAATTGGCCTCTGCATTCATAGTACCTCATTGCTTCTTCCCCCTGAATTATTGCCTATTTGCAATACCTCCCATACGCCTCTAACACAACACCATTTCCTTGTTGCTCCCCAAGGAATGTATTTTGCTTGCTCTTTTGGAATAACCCCGTCTATTGTCCCCCAGTTATTGGTAGAAAATCATGAATATTGTGTCCTAGTTGTGCTGCTACCTAAGGTCTCAATACATCCTCCTGAAGATTTGATTCCCTTTTATCATAGTGCTCCGCGTGTCAAAAGGGAACCTGTAACTGCCATCACTCTGGCAGTCCTCTTGGGGTTGGGGGCCACCGGAGCAGGGACCGGCATTGCCTCTATAATTACTACAAATCAACAATTCCATACCCTTAGCTTGGCCATAGATAAAGACATTCAAAATCTGCAAGAAGGCCTTGATAACCTTAAAGAATCTGTTGTTTCACTTTCTGAGGTAGTTCTTCAAAATCGCCGCGGTCTTGACCTTCTATTTCTTAAAGAAGGCGGTCTGTGCGCTGCCCTTAAAGAAGAATGTTGTTTTTACAAAGATAAAACTGGGTTAGTCCAAGACAGTATTGAAAAAATAAAGAAAAATCTGGAGACCCGGCAAAAACAAAGAGAAAAGGACGAAGCCTGGTATAAAAGTTGGGCCTCTAAAACCCCCTGGCTGTCCACCCTACTTCCTACTATTCTCGGACCTCTAGCAGGGTTCCTCCTTTTACTGTCGATTGGCCCCTGGGCAGTGCAAAAACTAACTGCTTTTATTAAAGCACAGGTTAATCAACTAATTAAACCAGCTGTTGCCGTCCACTACCACCACTTGACAACTCAGGATGATGACGATGTGGAGCAAGATCCCCGGCACCCTAGAAATCTTAACCCCTCTAATACACCCCTGCGCCTGCATCGGCTTCTTTAAGGCCTAGCTCCCCCCCGCACATGGGGCGGCATGAAACTAGAGACATGCCTACCTCACCCTTGGATGAGGGTCTAGAGGTATGGGCACCGAGCAGAGTGACGGGCAAAGCACCGCAAGGAAGGGCCCTTCTGTGCCTTCTCTAGTCCTTCCTGAGAACATGCCTGACTTGCATAGAGGTTGGTATCATATTAATATTACACAAACCGGCTCTGCCTCTCCTCCCCAAAAGATACCAAGAGCCACAGCTGGTGAGTTCATTAAAAGCTCACGGGAGGAGTCGGGCCTCTGTTCCCTCTCTCGGTCAAAGCCCACCTTTCTAAAAAAGAAAGGGAGGAGATGTCGGGAGCCTTAAGCCTGCACCCGAAGATAAGAACCACATCCTGTTATCGAGAACAAACTCTGCTAGCTGTGACCTTTGGACAGCCACGGCACTGTGAAGCACCCACCATTTTCCGTGTCTTTGTTCCCCATTCCGCCACCTGCAGAGCGGGAGCCTGCAACTGCTGGCACAGCCCATCTGTTTCTGACCAGCCAGGTAGAAATCACCTCATCTGGTGGACGCCAATGAGCTTGTAACGAATACTCTCTGATCAGTCCCGCCCCTGCCCTCTCCACTTGAGTGTATAAATATAACCGCTTGAAAATAAAATTTTGAGGCTTGATCAGAACACTGTCTTGCCTCCATTCTTTTCTCCCGCCCATGTTTTCTTTAAGGTACGGTCCTCCTCGGGTTCTACGCAATAACTAGGTCCTGCAGGTCGGGACAGAGAGAGATGGTGCAGTGACATAATACTTTATTATTAAGTTAGAATTCGCTAAATGAAAATAACTTCCTCTAACCTAACAGCAAATGACAGAATTTTTACACTAAAAGAGGGAAATTGGTGGATTCTCTTTTCCTCAGCGTTAGTGTTAATTCTTTGTAGTAAATAATTTGCTATATTTTTTAAGCCACGGCAGTAACATACATACAGTACCACCCTGTTTACACCTATTCCCATAATTCTAGGCTAGAATTAATTGGCAAAGTAGAACGTGTTAAAAGTATCGAATAATTTAGGAATATCTAGAGATCCTTGCTAAATGATTATGAGAAATAAGCTTTGTGAAATCTGATTTAGCATCACTTTGTTACAAGGGACATAGATCTATCTATACCAAGTCTTATGGCAAAATGTTGGTCCTGTCATAGGTCTAGATCAGATAGTTTGCTTTTGTTATAGTGGTCACCAAATTCAAAAGTAGTTTTGGAGAAGTAGAACTAGATTTGAAAAATTGGTAGAAAAACAGAGAACTGGCTTGCCTTTCAACATTTCATCAGGAAGATTCATGAGTTCAGTTTCTCAGAACTGCTAAAGTAATTCCCTTGATTCACCATTCGGGATGTGCAAACTAAACAGCTCAATACTATGAACATAGGTTGTGTGTTTCAACTGGATAAATAATTCACCCACAATCATGTTGCCAGTTTAACACTGGTTTATGATTCGCTTTCTAATTAATCCAATACATGTGAAGCATATTTTAAAATATGTCTCTCCCTCAATTTTCTGCCTCTGTGTCTTTCTCACTCATGGTTATTATCACTTGAGTTTTCTCTTGGCTTTATTCCCCCAACACAGTACAGAATGAACATGCAAAGCATACAACACAGAAGAAGAAAGATGACACCTGGGTCACTAGTCTCCTGGTTCACTTTGCTAATCTGCTTCAACTGCCATCATTAATTAGGATGAAGAGGTGACTACTACCGTGGCTGTTACTGCTGTTGCTGTATCGAAATGCACTTGGAGAGCCATACATAATTTATTTTCCACTCGATGAACTTATTACTCAATTTCTAATCTAGAAAGACAAGAGATTAACTTTCTAGAATTTGGGGACTTTTTTTTTACAGGATTATATACTCTTAATAGTGAAGTATGTCTTCTATTATAAAAGTGTTTGTAACATATATGCAGAGTTCAAAAAATAATAAAATAAATACTCATATAATCAACCACTTAATCTAAGGAATAGGCTAACATCAATACCTTTGAAACTACTTTTATAACCCTCCCAGATATTTACCTCCCCCAGAGATAATCTCAGTCTTGACTTGTATATTGATCATTTCTTGTTGATATATGTTCTTCAATGACATGTTATTTAATTTTTTCTCTTTTAATAATTATATAAAGAGTCATAGTGTATAAACTTTTGTGATTTGCATTTTTTCTCAATAGGTTTGTGAGAGCTATCCATGTTAGTATAGTTTATTTAATTTTATCATGATTTATTTAGTATAACATTGTATGACTATAATGAAATAATTTATTAATTTATTTGCCACCCACAGACATTTGGGTTATTTCTATTTTGTTTGTTTTTTTTGGTGTTTGTTTGTTTTTTTTTTGCTATTGAAAACTGCTATTTTTCTATTGCTGCATAGTAAATTGCCACAAATTTAGAGGCTTAAAACAGCATGAATTTATTATTTTATTTAGTTATTTTATAGTTTTGTGGGTCAGAAGTCAGGGAACAGCATGGCTCAGCTGGTTTTCTTTGCTTAGGATCTCATAAGGTCAAAATAAAGATGATGGTTAGGACTGTAGTCTCCTTTGAGACTCAGGGTCCTCTTCCAAGCTCATTCAAGTTGTTGGTAGAATTTAGTTCTTTCAGGTTGTTAGACTGAGGTCTTTCTCTACTTTCTTGTTGCCTGCCAACTGCAGACGTTTCTGAGCTTCAGGGGCCACCCACATTTCCCTGGCATGTGAACCATTTCACAACATGGCAGTTTGCTAATTCAAGGGCTGCAAAAGAAATATCTTCAGCTTTGAATCTCTTCTTCCTCTTTTCAGGGATCCCTGATTAGGTCAGACCTATCGACCACGATGGTGTTCCTTTTGATTAACTCAAAGTCAACTAATCAGAGACCTTAAATACTTCTACAAAATTCTTTCTGCCATATAATGTAGCATAATCACTGAGGTGATAGCTCATCATATTCACAAGTCCTGTGAAGGCATTATATAGGGTAAACATACCCAAGGGTGGAAATCTTGGGGGCCATTTTAGAATACTGCCTACCACACAAACAATACTATAAATGCACATCCTTGAATATGTCTTTTGTTTAATTTCTTGTAATTATAATTCTTTTTATGTTTTCAACTTGAACAATGATAGCAACCAACTTCACCTAATCGAATTTATAGAACAGTTTATCCTCAAGCAGCAAAATCTACAATGCACATGGTAGTTTTCAAATTAGATCATATTCAGGGCCATAAAACGAATCAATAAATTTAAGAGGATTTAAATTGTATAACGTATATTCTCTGAGCATAATTAAATTAATTATGAAATTAAATTAGAAATCAAAAACAGAAAATACTGAAACATACCCAAATATTTGAAAACTGTATAATGCATTTCTAAATATCTTATGGGTCAAAGAAGAAATCACAGAGCAATTAGACAGTATTTTGAACTAAATGTGGTAAAACTTAAAAAAAAGAGATGGAAATGAGATAATGTTGTCATTGTTAGATTGGGTGTGGATTCACAGGTGTTTTCTTTGTTATTACACTTTAAAGTTTCAATATATATAACACGTATACTTCAGTTTATATTAAAATATATAATTAAAAGATAAATGGAAATTTGTCTTAAATAAACACATGAAAAATACTCCCTTAAGAAAGACTATATGGCATAATCCAAAGTGGATCTGGGCTTGATATATCCACATGATAGATTTCACATTTAATATAAGAGATCATTAAATCTTAGACCACATTACATGAGGTCACATGGTTAATTGTTGCTGTTTTCACTTCTAAAAACATTTGACATTTAATAACACCTAAGAACATACCACATCCCATGCGTGTTGCAAGTTCAGGTTCTCTATAGTCTTTGTCAAAGACTAGAAAATGAACATATGTGCTCCATGCAGTTGCTTGTATCATTAGGCATAAAAAAAAAAAATCTACAGCATCTGCAGTTTCTTGTTTAATTAGATCCTGAAGCAATGGCTGCAGCTGAGCCATTTATTGCTTCTGTAAACCAGAGCCAATAGAGGAAAGATGTTTTTTCTAATGTCACTTCTGAAACGAAATATGTTGGCAACAGCATAGGTGGGACAACTCAGAGTGCGGAACTTAGACTGACCTCTGATGTAATGGAAACAACCTAAGAGAGGCAGCATGTTCGGCATCTATTAGCAAAGAGTCATGGGAGTGGGGACAGAAACTTACCCGTGACATAAAGCAGGAAAGACCCATGTTTTATAAGAGTCACCAATCAAAGGTTAATATCAGAAAATATCAACTCCTAATTCAGTTTTTATCTTAATAAATATTTTTATTTTTCCATCATATTTTAATGTTATATTATTTGGAATTGTGTATGTATGTAGAAAATTTTCCCGAGATATGTTCCTTAATACAAACACAAATTCAATCATTGTTAACTTATTTGATTTTTCTTTGAAATTAATGGTTACAAGTTTTTTGTTATCGGTATTTAAAATTATTATTGGATAAAAAATTATATATAGGCTTCAAATAGCTATAATTTCCCTAGGCAACCATTTACTATGACAAAATGGTTGCTTAAAAATATTTTCCTAGTCCTTGGAGATTAAAGTGTAAATAATCCTTCCTTCCTTCACAATATTGACAAACTTGTTTTTTAGATTCAAAACTTGCTTTTTAAAAAAGATTACATCATAAAAATTGCATAGAATATTTTTACCCTTGGCTATAAAATGTGTTAAAAATTTTAATATTGACTATAGCTCAGAAAAATGGCATTTTCATAATATTAAAAGGGATCAAAAAGCGTGTCAGATTTATAAAACTGTTTGTTCCTACAAAACTATGAGTGGAAGGCTTTTGAAGAGGGTTGGCTTGAAGCACTTCATTATTTTGAATGCCCGATTAATGTTCATAGTGTTCTGTTGCTCACTTTTATGTGGAGGTTGGTCTGAAATGCAGTATATTATGCAATGGTTT